GACAGCAGTCGGACCAGAGATGCACTCATGATTACTCATGATGCCGTTTGCCTCAAGCTCCTCGACACTTGCAGTCTCCGCATCCCTCCAAACCTGCTTTTCGCCAACATCGCCATGTCCCGCAAGTTGATTGCCGCCCTTGCCTTCGCCCCGGCCGTCGTGGCCAACAGCTGCCCCAGCTCCTCAGCATTGGTGCATGCCAGCTGCCAGGTCAAGGTGACTGCGGATGCAACCTGCTCCGAGGTGTGGTCATGGGCCCTCCATAATCTACAGGGTGGACCGATCGAGTCTCTTACTGTTGTCCAGGCAAACATATCCCCAATTAAGGCTGCTAGGGTACTTGGAGGGTCAGGGAGACTTAGTAAGCAGGTTAGTCATGGTGATGATTGGGTTGCTATATGGATCATAGGGGTTCTAAGTACACTTACTAAGCACCTCTGACCCTCCAAGTATTACTATGTTGATAAATCCCCGAAGGTGATGTCTGAGATGAAGGCTCGTGTTGAAGGGATCAGCACTGGTGCCTGGCACGATCCGCACAACAACGGAGTCTACTCGCTCCTGAGCCAGAGCGATGGAGACTTGGACTTTCAGCGTGTGACCGGGAACAAGAAGTATACAGACCTTCTGAAGTTCACCTTCGAGGATGCTGCGGACAACACCTGCAACATCCAAGGGTGCAGTGCGAGCCAGGTGACCAGCGTCGCTGACTTCTCCACCAACTACTGCAATTTGCGCATGCTCTACTGCGGCGCGAATGAGGGGTGCAAGCCTGTGCAGAAAGACTTCGCAATTACAGAGACCGCGGTGGATCCTTCATTTGGAGCAGGGAAGGATGCTTCGCAGTGCCTGAAGACTGCCAGCCTGACGTTCCTTTCCCCGCAGACGCCAGCAGACGGGGCCGCGCAATGCCCGCCTGCTGGCTTTGACACGGTGAAGGATTTCGACCTTAAGTCCTTCATCGCCAAGCGATGGTACATCCAGCAGCAGATGGCCATTAAGTACCTCCCTGCATCTCAGAACCGCTGCGTGTACGCCGAGTACAAGCTCAAGGAGAAGCCCAGCACCTTTGGCTACGATGTGAGTGTGCACAACCACGCAGAGCTCGTGGAGCCCCCGCACACCCCCTACGACTCCGGCGACAAAATCTGCGCCAAGATTGTGGACAAGGCCCGTGGCAAGCTTGAGGTCGCTCCATGCTTCCTGCCTACCTTCGCGGCGGGGCCGTACTGGGTGATTGACTACGACGAGGCGGCAGGCTACGCCTTGATCTCCGGCGGGGCCCCGACCATCGCAGCCGAGAAGGGCTGCAAGACGGGGACAGACACCAACGACTCGGGTCTCTGGATCTTCACGCGTGCACAGAAGCGGGATGAGGAGTTGGTCCAGAAGGTGAGGGCCATTGCCTCCAGCAAGGGCTTCGACCTTTCTGTCCTGAACGACGTGGACCAGAGCGACTGCGGAAATCTGACGCAGATTGTTGTCTGAGGGCCATGTGACATGTGGCTAATTCATATAGCTCATTGAGCTGACTGCCTTTAGTATAGACCTTTTCGCAGAGCCACTCTGAGAGTTGATTTTGCCAACGAGAGACGCCAGAGAAGCGTCCTCTCTTTGAGTGCTGCCACTTGGGCTTCACTCACATCAAGGCACAGGATAGGATTTTGCGCGAGAGGAACAAAAACATTTCA